GGCTCTCCCCTCGCTCTGGATCCCTTCCGCGCCGCCAGCAGCCGGTACCAGATAGAAAGGTGGAAAGGAGTAGAAAGAGAGGGAACGAGCCCCGTGTGGGTGCGACGGATACGGAGCTCAGGGAGGGATGGGTGTAAGGGAGACAAGACGTCTGCCCCCACCAAATTCGAGAGAACGGGGGCGTCACCCCGAAGTCCCTTCCGTACCGATAGTGGAACTCCCTTTATCCAAACGCGGATGGCTCGGCAAAAGCAGCGGGGTAAGGAGAGACGGGGTAGACTACCTCGAAGAGGGGGCAACAATCCGAGTGGTAGTAGTGGCTGCTGTGCACACGCCACGAAAACCTTACCCCCACTATGCACCTCCTCAGCGTGTTCTGCGGCCCTTCTGCGTCGTACACCAAATGTACGTCACCTGCTTTTGGTCATCCAAAAGGGACACTGCGGAATGGCGCAAAAAAAAAGACGGCTGGTTCCTCGGCGGGGAGGATGGCCTACGAAATTTCCGAGTTCTTGCAGAACTGACGTGTAGCAGCACCCTGGACGAGTCAGTCTAATGACGCGTCACTACTAAGACCACTGGAATCCTCCTTGTTTTCAGTACTCTTTGCGGATTCAAACATACACAGAGAAAACACCGAGGATATTACTTGCCCAAATATATAGGCCCAAATATATACTTGCCACAATAAAATATTAATTTTTATTATTTTTCGCCTATATAAAATGGTTGTAGTAACCATAGCACTCTGGAAGTGGTATACTGGTCTTCTTTGTTGCCTGTCTATATGTGTTTGAGCGGTATTCTTAGTACTGTATAGCGTAACTACAAACTCTATAGATCTCTCAACTATAGTATTTGTTCTGCAGATCATAACAGAAAGACAACAACAAGATAACTATATAAGAAGATATAGGAGAAACCGGGACTAAATGTTCTATATTTCAGAATCCGAAGGTACGCCGCAATCCTGTTAGCAGTATATTTTGTTTTGCAATAATTAAAACATGTAGCAACGTGACCATCTTGCCTTGGTATTAGGTTTAGTTGCTTGGTCTCTCAACTATAGCATTTGTTCTGCAGATCATAACAGAAAGACAACAACAAGATAACTATATAAGAAGATATAGGAGAAACCAGGATTAAATGTTCTATATTTCAGAATCCGAAGGTACGCCGCGATCCTGTTAGCAGTATATTTTGTTTTGCAATAATTAAAACATATAGCAACGTGACCATCTTGCCTTGGTATTAGGTTTAGTTGCTTGGTAGCGCAGGCTAAGAAGGCCAAATATAAAATAGGTGTCCTAATTAGTAGTTCCGGGGTTTCCGCGAGAGGTCTCCACGATTCTCTAATCGGTTCTTAATTATGGGTCAACTTTACCTCGTCCGCTATATGCTCGATTTCAATCGTTTTATGAATAAAAATTGCTTTTATTATCCGAAACAGTATATCATACGCTTGCTAGAAACTGTATTCTATTTAGTAACACGTTGCTTAATTGCATTCATTGACGATAAAGAGTATTAATATAAAATTTCGAGAAGCTCGAAAATTTACTACTACTAAATCAGTTTTTTTTCTATTTTTAAATGCAATATTATTCCAATTTTAATGAAACTTGGGGAAAAAGTATCTATATTCTGAAAAAGCTATTTCGCAATTTTATATTTACTATTCCTCTCAAAATAAATACTAAAAAAGCATATAAGTAATATATTTCTGGGGACACCTAGACACGGTTTCCCCTATTAATTACACATTATGTATCATATATGGGAAAAAATTCAGTTTATGTAATTGAATAAGGATAAGAAAAACTCGCTGGGAAATAATATCTCTATTATTGTAACCAAAAATATTCAGTCACATTAAATTCGGTTGAAATAATTGAGAGCAATTGGCTAAATAGAAAACTTCTACAGAAATTTTTCTTTTCCTTCAGTCGAATTTTTCATCTGATCCCCAAGTAATAGAAAATTCAGTTACACTAACAGAGTTGTTTTTTCTGTGTGTGACTGTTGAGAATTGTATAGATAGGAATATAACAACAAAGATTTTTAATATCTGCTTAACTTAAAATCACAAATTTTTTCTCCATAGAGTAGTAGTTTTCTGCAAATAGATAGATAAAAAAACCAATGAGAACCCACGCAAGATGTCAATTGCGAAACACGCTAAGGCAACAAACCTATCAACTTTTTTTACCTATGTTTGATTATATACTTGAGAGACTGATAATTTATTCGGTCTAAAAAGTTATTCAATCTTATATTTTTTCTTTACAAATTCGTTCTCTCACGCTGACTTGAAAACATGTTTGTGCTCATTCTCGGCACTGTTTTTCTAGTTTATTGATTTATTTGTACAATAGTTGATTTACATGGATAAGAACGAACTGTGATCCTTGTTTTTGTCTAAATTATTAATCCTAAAAATCATCATATATGTAGCCAAATATTTGTTTATCAACCAAACTCGTGGAACACGACAGTGCTGTTTTGTTCCGCGTCTTCCTTATCGCGTTTTGTTGTCGTGGCGACAAAGACATCACACTCAACTGCAGTACTGATCGGACAATTTTCAAACAAAGACGCGGGCAATTACTTCACGACAGCGTGTCACAAAAGCTTCACGCTTGATGGACTTTGTGAGAACGACGAGTGCTAAGAGTTCACGCTACAAATTAAGTCATTTCAGGTCGTCGCGTGATTAAGAATTATTTCGGCCATTATTTTCTCGCTATGTCAAAGGACTCACGTTTCATTTGCGAGCGCGTCTAATTGTTATTCGCGTTAGCACAGCACAATATTCTTTTCAGACACAAACCGTAACTAACAGTTAGATTTCTTTCTTAACATTTCTCGTCTCAAAATATCGCGACTCGACAGGGTCTTTTTTTAATTATTTTTTTGTACATTTTATTACCCTTTTTTTGTACACAGCGCCTAGGAAGACGCAGGTGACTTGAGACACTGTGCGTCTCAGGCAGCAAAAACAGGTTGACCGAAACTGAGGAAACGGTGGACGCGAGTTGAATTGCTCCCGCGGTTGTCACGCATGGAGGCACCCTAATAAGGACCTGCGGCGTGAATAAAGTCATTTGTGGTAGATGTCGTGATTGTGGTCGTTTTACGAGTCCACCCTTTAATGCGTGTGGGTAATTGAACAATGAGCGCTCCAACTTCCTGCTCAATTCCCAGAGAGACAGGTGCACGTAAATTTGGCAGTAACTTTACTAACCGTTTTGTGAAGATAACCATTTCTTTTGAATAGTTTACATTTATCTTGTCAAATTTATATGGCAACTATATTTTTATCACAAAAAGAGTAATAAAATAAAAATACAAAGAAATACAAAAAAAATTCGCTCAAAATAATATATAATATGAAAATTTGAGTGTAACTTTTTTGTTGCTGAATATAAATTTGTTGCATCAATAAAACAAAAACACTTGCATGATATAAATTTAATGATTGATTTGATATAATATATTTGTTTATAAAGGTAATTCGAGAAATTGTACACGTAGAAAATATTGGAGTAAAATATTGGGTGAAAATTTGAGTGTAACTTTTTGTTGCTGAATATAAATTTGTTGCATCAATAAAACAAAAACACTTGCATGATGTAAATTTAATGATTGATTTAATATAATATATTTGTTTATAAAGGTAATTTGAGAAATTGTACACGTAGAAAATATTGGAGTAAAATATTGGGTGAAAATTTGAGTGTAACTTTTTGTTGCTGAATATAAATTTGTTGCATCAATAAAACAAAAATACTTGCATGATATAAATTTAATGATTGATTTGATATAATATATTTGTTTATAAAGGTAATTTGAGAAATTGTATACGTAAAAAATATTGGAGTAAAAATTATCACAAAATTTTTGTAATCTTAAACTTATGACTAAAATTACTATATATTTGATTAAAAGTGTTATTTACGTTTGATTTTTTACTACAAAATCCATTGTAATTACTTGAGTAATTACCATTGTAATTACTTGAGTGCTTTTTATATCGTATATATTAGGTAGATCGTTAAATTTACTATTTCTATTACAATTTCAGTGTAGCCCAGTCTTACATAGAACATTGTAAAAAGAAATATAGTTTTAACGTAATTTTTATTGCCGTATGTTTTCTCCCTGTAGACCTTTCATCATCAATTGTCTCACGGTGTTATAATCCTGAAAGTCTACCTGGCTCTCTGTAATGAAGATCATCGACCGCGTGTATTGAGTGGAACGATAACTCCAAAAAAAAAAGTTTTTTCAATAAACTCGCGCGATTCGCGTATTACCGCGTCCAAGTTGGCGTTCATTGATCGTCACGCTACAAAGCTACGATCCGTCGAAAAGGGGTCAACGCGAGCTGAATTATCTTTCTGAGGACTTCGCGATTGTTTGCCACGGCTGACGGTGAGACCCTAATAAGGGTCGGCGGTACAAATAAAGTCATTTGCGGTAGTCGCCGTCTCGGTTCGTCGTACGTACTCTTCGACGAATCGGGCCTTTCGTCGCGTCCGAGGGGGAGGGA